CTAAAGTCCATTTCCAGTGCTACCTTTTACCTCAGGTTAGCCTTTTAAGTGGCATGATGGATTTCTTGTCTTCACTACCTAAAACACAGAGGTAAGACTTCACTAGTCTTTCTGAATTTTATAGAATATCTGTACTAGTTGGAAACATTTTAACATTGGGAAAGAGGAGAAATGTGCTGTTTACTCTGAGTTGTTAAAGACATTACTGCCATCTTTTGGCTATTTAACAGGCAACACATTCCCATCTTGTCTATGGTTCAATCCATCAAGAAAGCTAGTTTAAAAACCTTTAAAAAGAGAATGGGACAGCTACTTTAGCTAGAGCCATTTTTTCTTCTAAAGAAAATCTCATACCTTAGTTTATTTTTTGCATCACTAAGTAAATCTATTTGTCTGAAATTATTTCAAACAGCTATCTTTGGACATAATTGTTAGATTTCCTTGTTTAAGACACCAGTTTTAGCTTCCATTGACAGTTAAGGATTTATGTTCTCAATCTATGAAGATATTTCAGAAAGTTATCTAAAGCAAGTAGCTGGAATGTTGTACTGGATAATCTGGTAATTTTGGCATTTGACAGCTGTAATGCTGAGAAACTTGATAAGTTTCTGTAAACAGAAACTTCCTTATTTTTTTCCCACAATTTTCTGCCAGATCACTTTCTAGCAAACTATTTATACTTAGAGATAAGCAGATTTTGTGCATCTGCAATTACATAAAAAAAAGTTGGATTAATCAATCGCTGTACAATTATACATACTACACATCTATATTTCCTTTACTATATCATACTTCTGGTCTTACATCAAGAAACAAATCCAAAAAATGAGAGTAACTGATATAGCTGGTTGCAAGACTTTTATATATCATGTCCTAACCGTCCAATGAATTAGCAGAAATAAAAAACACATGTGTATGTTAGCCAAAATAATATTGCCTTATTTGAAAACTAACCATTGTCCCATCTAGATAAGTGCTGTCTACCCTGGCCACAGCTTTTAAGAGTCACAGAAAGGAATTTTTTACCATCTTACTTGGAACTAACAACTGACTCTGTAACCTTTTTTTTTTTTTTTGCAAAATTGGTCCTCATAATGAGCTACAGCCCCATCTTCTATACTTTGAAACCCTAACCCAAGTTATAAAATTTATCCTGATGGAAACTCATTATATACAAATCAAATTAACTTAAAATACAACTATTAGTGTCATATTTAATAGTTATAAATATTCCATTCACTCAAATAGTTTTGGTTGTTTTTGTGTTTCTTTTACCAAGTATCTGTAGCTGAATAGTTCTGGTAATATTATATTGTTCCTTTTCAAACTCAAAGGTCATTTCACAAGTATAATAGCCTGAATCATTCATAGAAATAGGATTGATCAAGAGATAATTAGTGCCATTCAGAGTTGCAAACTTCTTAGTATCCATGTTCAGACGTGTAGAGTCCTAAAGATTAAAAGAAAAGGAATATTTAATGATTAATCGTAGTATCAGCCTTGCTTCAGTGTAAAGGTAACATCAATTTTCCTCTTGCATATATTTTTTTATTGATCTTGGACTATTTAAAATGTTCAGATTGGTTTAATGATCATACTGTTGATGTGGTGACACCGATCTTTGGAGATCTCCTATATTTTTTTTTCAAGAATGCCTGATGATTTGTTAAAAATAATCAAATATCTTTTTATAAGCTAGAAACAGGCAACTTGAATCTATGTGATTTGATTGATATTTAATTCTTAAAATATAAAGTTATTTTTGTCAAAAAATATGAAAGTTGCTAAGGTAAAGTCAGCCAGACAAAAACATACAAAAAGCAATACAATGAAAAAAAATCTACCATCTGAAATCAACATGAGGAGGCAATAGAAAAGATGATAGAACTAAAAAAAATATGGACAAAAATGAAAGATTTGAATTGGCTCAAAAATAATAATAAGATCAGGGCCATTTCTACTTTCATTGGAGAGTGGCCTACTTTTTACCAATAGTGGGAATCTTTGGGATTTTGAGAGCACGTGATGGATGTCAGGAAATGCTTTCTCTCATGGTTGTTTATTTGGTTTGTAGCATGCCAATAATTTTTTTTTAAAAAGCCAAATTGGGGTAGGAAGCGTAGAAGAAAATATTATGAGATATAGGCCACCTAATGCAGAGAGATATTTTCTTCAGATATATTTAATAGATGAGTTTTAGCATATCCAAGTCACTTGAATTAACACCTCTAATTATCTATTACAGGTTCAAAGAGGTGGGTGTTGGTCATTTCTCAAATAGTGATTTATAGCATCATCGATTTAAAGTAACAGGAATGAGAACAGGCTTGATATCACTTCCACAATGGCTGGGTGATGCTATGAAGATACTCAAGGACTCTAGTGGAAAATGGCCATTATGTTAACAGTCAGCACTTTGGGAAAAAACAGTTAACATCTTAAAATGCAAGAGGAAAAAAGTCCACAATTGTAGCAAGAGCATTATAGGTCCCCAAAACAATATTGCTGAATTACAATGATATGGTGGTATGACTGGTCCAGAAGTCAAACAAAGCTATAGCATAGGCTTCATTTAGACTACAGTATAACTGAGACTTGATCACAAGTTGATCACGACTGAATGTTTCATTTGTAACGTACAACAGAGTTGATGACAGTTGTATAGTTCCCTGAGTTTAAGACAGAACATAATGGTCAGAGGTAATGGAACCAGCAATCCAGCAAGCTCTGAAGGACCACAGATTCTTCATCTTCTTTACTGAATTTTGAATATTGGAAATTCATGTTCACATCCCCATAAAGACATTTAGAAATGATTTGAAAATAATACCTTGTACCACTTGAGTTCATAATTGGTATTGTTTTGTATAAAATTTTCTAGATTAGGACAAACTATCTTTTCAGAACTAAACAGGAATGCCTTCTGAGGATAGGAAATATTATTGGCTTCACTTCTCTTGACAACTTTTAAATGCAATGACACTTTAGAGCAGTAAGAGGAACTTCTGCAGAGAAAAGACAAATTCATAATGAGGAATTGCAGCATTAAAACACAAAGATGAATCTTTTCATTCTTTATTACTCATATTTAATCATTTTAGACAACATGTAATAGGAATACCAGAAACTGGACAGTACTAACATACTGAATTGTGTCCACTGATTTTGTTGAAAACACTCCTGCTCACAGAAATCCTGGTGCTCTTCTTTCACCCCTACTCCTTAGAGATAGGGGATTTTCTGGAACAAAATAAGAGGTCGGTGAAACTCCAGACTAATTTTTTTACGACTGATTGCCCAGCTCATAAGTAAGCCTTCTCCTTACCATTTTCTCCAAAAGAAAACAACAGTAAAATTCTAATCTTAATAAAGCTAAGTGTAACTATAGTAAAGGGCTCATATTAATGGTGGCATAAATATGCCCAAGTGCAACTTGTATAGAATCAAGAGCTGAACCTGGATTTGTATCCATGTTGAGGGACATAGCTACAGATCTTAAGTAGGTCTTTCGGGGTGCTTGAGACTTACTTTGTTCTGTAAAATGATTTTTTTAGCTCTCTAAAAAATGCTAAAAGTAACTTCTAAAACCTCTCCAATGCAAAAAGAAACCTTCTCAAATCCTCCATTCTATGTATGGTGAGGAGCCACAATTATTCATTTTTTATTTATTTATATTCCACCTTTATTATTTTTACAAGTAATTCAAGACAATGAACATATCCTATTTTTCCACAACAACCCTGTGAGGTGGTTTGGGCTGAGAGTGATTCGCCCAAAGTCACCGAGCTTCATCAATTCACAGTCTCACTCTTTGCCTGGTGCACCAGGTCTTATTTTGGGGGGGTCTCTTTTATACTCACCTTTGGCACTGACAGCCCCGCCCAGCAGGTCCATGTCTTCTGGGGCCGAAGGAACAGCTTCATTCTGCAGCTGCATTCCGGCCTGCATTTTGCAATCAGGCCTTTACAGAAGGGCCTATGTAGCTGAGTACTGAGCTATACATTCTAGATCGGTCCTCGGCTGGACAGGCCTTCCGCAAAGGCTTGTTTTCACTGAGAAAAGCAGGCCTGGCTGCAGAAGATGCCTCAGAAGAAGTGGGAGGACGAGGAGAGGCCTGGCTGCAAGGTAAGTGGGTGTGGGGCGTGTGGAGCATGTGGGGCAGATCCATATCCCCATCCTCACCCTAGCTTGACTTTTAGGCGTGTGCCTCACCCCAAAACTAGGGCTTATTTTTGGGGTAGGGCATATATTAGGCTCACCCCCCAAAAATCAAGCTAGGGCTTATTTTTGGGGTAGGCCTTACTTTTGGGGAAACACGGAGCTCAGGCCTACATTTCCCATCAGAGGCCTTCCAGAAAGGCCTCTGAGAGCGAAATGCAGGCCGGGGGACACTGCAGAAGTGGGCCAGTGAGGAGAGGCAGGTGTCGATTCATAGGAGGCCTGATAATTGGGTGCAGGGTGCCTGGGGAAGCTCTACCTTCCATCCCAGCTTGACTTTTAGGCATGTGCCTCACCCCAAAACTAGGCTTATTTTGGGGGTAGGGCTTATATTAGGCCTACCCCAAAAATCAAGCTAGGGCTTATTTTCAGGGTAGGACTTACTTTCGGGGAAACACAAAATATGTATACATGTATGTATGTATGTATACCATATTTCCCTGTAAATAAGACCCAGTCTTATTATTTAAGTGTCTTTTCCACTCACGTCATGGCAGTGGCACCAACAGCTCTGCCCAGCCAGCCCACTTCTGCAGCTGAAGGAAATGCCTCTCCAGCTGTGAATGGAGCTCAGGCCTACATTTCCCTTCAGAAACCTTTCTGGAAGGCCTCTGCAGCTGAGAACAAAGCTATGGATTGAATCCGTAGTTCGGTTCTCGGCTGCAGAGGCCTTCTGGAAAGGCCTCTGAGAGCGAAATCCAGGCTGGGGGACACTGCAGAAGAAGTGGGCCAGCGAGGAGAGGCAGGTGTCGATTCATGGGAGGCCTGGTAAGTGGGTGTGGGGCGCGTGGTGCAGCTCTACCCCCCACCTAAGCTTGACATCCCCCACACCCTGCATGCGCCTTACCCCAAAACTAGGACTCTAGAAAGAGTACAGAGATGAGCAACAAAGATGATTAGGGGACTGGAGGTTAAAACATATAAGGAAAAGTTGATGGAATTGAGTATGTCTAGTTTAATGAAGAGAAGGACGAGGGGGGACATGATAGCAGTGTTCCAATATCTCAGGGGCTGCCACAGAGAAGAGGGAGTCAAGCTATTTTCCAAAGAGCCTGAAGGCAGGACAAGAAGCAATGGAGGGAAACTAATCAAGGAGAGAAGCAACCTAGAACTAAGGAGAAACTTCCTGACAGTTAGAACAATTAACCAGTGGAACAACCTGCCTCCAGAAGCGGTGAATGCTCCAACACTGGAAGTTTTTAAGAAGAAACTGGACAGCCATTTGTCCGAAATGGTATAGGGCAGCGGTTCTCAACCTGTGGGTCGCGACCCCATTTGGGGTCGAACGACCATTTCACGGGGGTCGCCAAACAACGCAGTCCGCCATTTTCCCCCCCTTTTCCTTAGCTGTGCTACTCCCTCTTATTCTATTGGCTTTTGAAAGCCAATAGAATAGACTCTATTCAAGAGACTCTATTCTATTGGTGTTCGAAAGCCAATAGAATCTATTGGCTTTTGAAAGCCAATAGAATAGACTCTCTTGAATAGAGTCTAATTCTATTGGCTTTCAAAAGCCAATAGAATAAGAGGGAGTAGCACAGCTAAGGAAAAGGGAAAAAAATGGCGGACTGCGTTGTTTGGCACCCCCGTGAAATGGTCGTAAGTAATGTAAGTAAAAGAGGGCCAGGGATGGGAGGTGGGAGGTCGGCGGGCGCAGGGAGGGTTGCTGGTGCGCGTGGGGCCCAGTGGGTGCCTTACCTTTCTTGGGCTGGGCCAGCTGGTGGCCCAGCCAGTGGTCGCTCTGCGCCCTCGCTGCCGCATGCCATGGCCGCCCAGGAGCGCCTGGGTCTGCCTGCCACCGCACCAAACGTGCGGTGGCCAAGGTAAGGCTAGCGGAGCAGCGGCGGGCGCAGGGAGGGTTGCTGGCGCACGTGGGGCCCGGCGGGTGTCTTACCTCCCTTGGGCTGGGCCAGCTGGTGGCCCAGCCGGTGGTCTGCCTGCGCCGTCGCTGCTGCTTGCCATGGCTGCCCAGGAGCGCCTGGGCTTGCCTGCCGCCGCACCGAACGGCGGTACAGGAGGGGTGCAGAGAACCTTCTGCCGGGCCCCTTTTCTTCGGCTCGCCCGCAACTTCACTGAAAAGACCTCGACCGACGGCGGCGAGATTCAGCCGGCTGAGAGGGCCGCTCTAGCTCGAGCAGAAGAGCCATCTCTATGCTCCAGGCATCCAAAGGCTGTGTCGGACTGGCACGCGAGGGTCGGAGCACTCTCGGGAAGGGAGGAAGTAAGGAAAGGAAGGAAGGAAGGAAGGAGGGCGAGCTCGAGCTCAGCAGACCACGGGTGGAGCGGACCAGCAGCAGCAGGATAGGGCGGGGCAGGGCTTCGCGGTGCCCATGGGCCAGGCGCTGAGACTGGCAGTTTAGCAGCGACTCCCCTTTGTGTCTGGACTGAGAAAAGGGGAGCCACTGCCAGCCAGCCAAGCCCAGCTGCCGGAGGCGGGGAGGCGACGCGACGTGAGAATCCCCCTGCACGAAGCCTTTGCAGGCGGCTCCCTTCACCTGGAAGGCGGAGGAAGAGCCGGGCAGACAGGCAGCTGAACTCCCCAGTGGGGTGGAGGAAACAGGGCAGGGTCGCGAGTGAGTGTGTGAGGGTGCATGAGGGCGAAAGGGTTTGGCTGCCGCGGGAGCGCTTGTCACAGGTTCCCTCTCAGGTTCTGATCGCTGGCGAACCGGGCTCTTGCGAGGGGAGGGAAGAGGGTGGAAGAAGTGGCTCTCCCCTCCCCTCTTCCTGCTGGGGCCACGAAAGGAGGGAGGGGGAAGACAGAAAAAAGTGCATTTTTCCAAGGGCTGCCTAAGAGGAAAGGCCGCTTTGCGCCGGGCTGCTCGAAGCCAGGAACTGGGAAACCCTGATTTGCTGCTGCTGCTGCTGCTTTGTAGAAACGCCAGGACTTTCTGCCCATTTCCTTGGTTGGAGTTATTTCCTTTTCCGCGTGCGTGTGGGTCACGTGTGGGTCACGTGTGGTTGTGCGTGTGGGTCACGTGTGGGTCACATATGGTCGCGTGTGTGGGTCACGTGTGGTCACATGGGTGGGTGGGGTCGCAGCATTAGGAAGGTTGAGAACCACTGGTATAGGGTTACCTGCCTGAGCAGGGGGCTGGACTTGATGATCTCCAAGGTCCCTTCCAACTTTATTATTATTGTTATTGTTATTGTTGTTGTTGTTATTATTATTATTGGAGTAGGGCTTATATTAGGCCCACCCCAAAAATCAAGCTAGGACTTATTTTCAGGGAGGGCCTTACTTTCGGGGAAACACGGTATGTGTTTGTGTGTGTGTGTGTGTGTGTCATACTTTAATGTGGTCCATATGTTAATCAAGAATTATATGATTACGGTATATACAGTAGTAGTCAGCATTGACTGAATTACTGAAATGATGCTTTATTTAACAGCCCACTGAATCATGTTTTGGAAATTCTAAACTCTCAAACTCTTCACTTGTAGATATTACAAGAATGGTAAAAAATATATCTAGTCTGATTTGTTGGCAATCCTTAATATTCAGAAGCTTCCTAACTCAGACGTCATTTTGTTATCATGGATACATTTTATTAAGGTGGACACCATTACTCCATAAAATAGCAACCACGAAATATCACAGAATTCAGGGAAACTGCACAGTCTGAAGGAAACTATGTTCACATTAGTCCAAGAATAAAAAAAATCAATTGGTTCACTTAAATATGCAAATTAAATGTATTTTGTTCTATTTCTTGATCCTAAATTGAATAGTTACGTTGTGTTAATAAAAGTGGATTAATATATTTTCCAGCTGTGTATTCAGCATACATATGTTGTACAAGAAACAACTCTCTTCCAAAGAATATGCTGTGAGTGCCGTGTTAGTACTCTAGTGCCTTTCCCACTAATCTCTTAACTACTCCTGGCTAAATGCACTCTCTTTCCAAAGTTAAACTATGTAAAACTGAACAATCCCATGAGCTGTATGCTTACCTTCGAGTGCAAATGTATTCCCCACTATCTTGAAGAATGGTTGGTAAAAGCCAGACAGAATCACCTTGTGACATTATTCTTGCCCCCTTGAATCCTGCAGGGATAACAGTTGATGAATCTTTTTTATTCCAAGTCAGGTTAAGGGGTAGATCAAAAGGCTTTGTATTTTTGTATTGTAGACATTTTAGGACTGTGGGTTCTCCTTCCAGGACAAACGTAGGCCAGGAGTATATGGTGTGATCTTGGCAGTTATCTGTGTAAACACAGAATTATTTTGTATTAAAGAAGAGAAAGAAGAATCAGAAGAACCAACAAGAGGAGACTCTTCTTTCCATGGATTGTCTATCATGATGAGAACTTTCACCTGCACTTTCCACACGATGGATTCGGAAGGCAGAAATGTTGAGCATATTAGGACTGAAAATGCACACGAGGCTGGGCACCACTTTCCATATGAAACAGGAAAGAGAAAAATCATGGATGGCATATGGAGACCTGAAAATGAAAACAAAATGTCAGTAAGCCCTCCATATTACCAGAAATTGACTTTCGTGACAAGTATGTCCAGGTCTGGTCTAAATTATGAACCTGGAAACACTTGAACCACATGTAGTAGTGAAAGTTGCCTTATGGGTGAGATGGACAACTTTCTCTGTGCTTTAGAATGACACAGGTAGCAGGTAGCATCTTAGATTCTGCTAAGAAATGCCATAGAAAGCCATTTTGGTGTAGTGGTTAAAGGCATCAAACTAGAAAACGGGAGACTGTGAGTTCTAGCTCTGCTTCAGGCACAAAGCCAACCAAATGATCTTGAGCCAGTCACTCTCTCTCAGGCTTGGAAGGAGGCAAGGGCAAACCACTTCTGAAATCTTGCCAAGAAAACTGTAGAATCTCATTCAGATAGTCACCAGGAGTCAACAGTGACTTGAAGGTGCATACTCACATAGAAAAAGAATGCTATACATGCATGTCATTTCTAATGCTTTGCCATGAAAGGAATCTCACCCCTGTTCTAAGGTAGCTAAAGCAAGCAGGTGCCTTCCTGATGTTTTAAACAACCCCCAGTCTTTTTTCACGATTATACTAGTTGTCAGTCTAATGCAAGCTGAAGTCCAAAACTTCTAAGGGATACCAGCTGCCAGGCTCTGGGATGGCTGCATACTAGAATGTCAATCAATACAACATCCATATTTCCACAAAGCTAAAAGTCTACAGTGCTGTGGTTATCCCTTCTCTCCTAATATGGATGTGATTCTGAACTCTGTACTGATGGCACATCATACAACTGAGGAAATTTCACATGCATGCTCTCAGTCCCCTCCTTGGCTCTAATTCTGAGGTTTGGTATCATGCAAAGTCCACCAGCATTAAGTCCTTGATTACCAGAAGCTATTTTGCTAGTCCTACTAGCATAGCAAAGGAAACTGCGAAGCTGCTGGCCTCCCCTCTCTTCCCCAATTCCTACTATTTTTACCTTTTTTGAAGGAAAAAAAAGCCATAGTGTTGCAAGGATCTTGGCCATCTCAAACAGGTTGAAGGTCTTGCATCCTCCACTACTTTCTTTTGAATATGTGGGAAGGGGGGGCCAAAAATGAATACTAAAACGACCAGAGATGCTTAGAAGAACTCCAAATGTTTGACAGCAAAGGTCTAATGGAACTGATTTATTTCCCTGAACAGTACAAGTTAATGAACTGAGAACTGTTTAGGTCTCTTGCTCAAGAATATACTTCTTATTGCTACAAGGCTATTGTTTATGAATGACACAGGAAAAAGCCACTTAAAAGTGCTTGAATTATATTCATGGTGTCTTAACCTTGAGGCATCTGAATGCAGTGTACAGTACTTTACTCATTACTCAATTATTTGTTTCCTGCCTCTTCAAATTTGCAATTGTGATGTGAAACTTGAACCTTGCCTCATGTATGCTAAAGCTGGATATAACTCAGAACTGAAAATGCATACATAGTCCTCCTCTGCAGTGCAAATCTCTGAATAAAATTGACAGGTTTTACCAATACGCCAATTTGAAGTCCTACAAAGTCATACAAAGGAGAATTGTACTGTAATTTGATTCATACAGAGTGCTAATCCCTTAATGTGGATTGTTTGGCTTTGGCAATGCCTTAAATTGCATGACAGTACTGCAGTTTATAAACTATGTTTTCTGCCTTAGTGTGATAAGTGGACCCAGTACTCTGCTATTTATTCAAACAACAGTTAAGCAAATCATGGGTCAGGAATAAAATTGTGATTTGAGCAGCCTTGATATCTGCAAGAGCAGATATCTTTTTGGCATTCGTAATTTGAGATAAAACAATCCAGATGAACTAATCCCTAGTGAAATTGGGAAGCAGATTATTGGCCAGAAGGAAAAAAAATCTTCCTTGTGATACTGAAAAATGTATAAATGAGAGGAAAAGTAAAGAATGTTTTGACATAGAATCAACAGGAAACAAGAAGCAATGGTTCATACGATGGGTTTAAAAACTCTTGCTGCTTTTTACATACCTAATAAGAATATTAATATAACATACCTAATATCCTGAGTCCTGTTGCCTTTGTTGAATAAGATTTACCTCTAATTAATCTGATTTTTGTATGATGACAAAAGCTCCCTTGGCTAAGAATTGGACATGAACACCAGCCCCTTGAGTCGGTGACGACTGGACAGGCAAAACCTTTAAACCTTTTATATAGCAGACCTGGGCATTTTACTTCTCCCAGATGATATCCGGCCCTTTGGCTGGCCCTTGTGAAATCAATCAGAAATTAGAATTCAAATGTAAAGATATCCCATACATGCAACTGCATTGCTTTTATTTTGAAGGCAATTGCTATTTTTATTTTAATTTACATGTGCACATCTATACATGCCTATGCACCTTCACAGCCCTATTGGTTCAGCCCTCCACAACTGTCCCAGTTTCTTATGTGGTATCCTGGGAAAATTAATTGCCCACCCCTGGTATATAGAGTAGTAAGAAGCAAGACTATTGGTTGTTGGTTTTTTTTTGCCTCAGGCTGAATTCTGTCGCAGATCAGGACTAATATTGGACCATTGGTGACGATGATCCCACACTGAACTAACTGCATGAGTTGCTACCACTGAAAATCTGCACAGCATCACAGTGACCAATCACTCAGTGTCCCTACCAGAATTATGGGGATTGGCTTCTGCCTGACTATGCAAAGCACTCAGTTGAATAGAGCTTGTTCTAACTATTGCCGACTTCTAAATTGCCATCTCCAAATTTTAACACATCTTTGATTTGATAGTTCCCCTTCTCCGCTGTTTCTAATACTTTCAGTTTCTTATAACTGAAAAAAGAAGAAGTTATCATCATGCAAAACAAAACATCTGCCTTAAGTAACTTAAATGGTAGCTCATTGCTTTGGAAGGGGTTTCTTTTGGGGGGGGAAGGTCAGCAGCACTGATAAAGAACATCCTAGGTCAGGGGTCTTTTATGACCTGTGGACTTGCATACCTGGCTGAGGAATTCTGGGAGTTGAAGTCTACAAGTCATAAAAGGGCCAAGTTTGAAGACCTCTGTCCTAGGTGGCTTGAGATGATGGTGAGGAATGCCTAATCTACAATCACTATAACCAGACTTCCTTTAATCTAGAATCTTCCAGATGTGATGAAATTTCCATTCCCAAATCTTCCAATCAGCAGAGTGTTTGAGCATGCTGTCTGATTATTCTGGATAATACTAAGCGAGGGACAGCCATTTATGAGGCTAGAGACTTGCAACCAATCTCATTTCTATTTCTCTATTATTTATGTCTTGTGTCTGTTATATATGTCAGCTCATACCAACAAGGTAGATGAAACCATATTTTGAAAGAGGGACCAGCCTCCACTTTGTTATAAGGGACAAAAACAAACATTTTTATACTCCATCAACATTTCCTTTTGTTGTATATGAACAAATTAAACAAAAATAAGAATAGAATCTCTTGCTTCTTCAATTACATCCAACTTTATAGGCAGGAGTATTTTTAATTTTTGAAAATTATTCCCACAAATGTTTCCAGAAGGTTCTCCACATATGATTTATTACAACTTTTAAGAATAACCAAGCTGCCTTCCACTTTATAGTCAAACTCCCTGTCTTTCTACTATTCTGGCTTAATCAATTGATTTCTCCTCCACATCATTTTTTTTTAAAGAAGCAACCCCATATTCTCTTACCTGTAGCTCTTCATTCTCTGGCCTTAGAAATATCCGGATAACCACAACACACCACTTTCTTGAAACAGAAGAGTAGATGGTCTTAAATACCCCAGAGAAAACGCAAGGGAAATTTCCCCACATTTCCCAATCAACATTTGTTAGAAAAGTCACTTGAAGAATACCTTTTCCACATGGTGTAGCAATGTTGCGGTGGGGAGCGTGTGTGAGTTTGAATCAATACTTGCCAAGAGTAAGCATATTGCCCAAAAGAGGGGAAATGACTGCTACATATACATAGACGCACAGTTCCTTTTTTGTGTGTGTGTGTCTGATGCTGCTTCTTTTCACCAGTGAAAATCCTCTGGTTGTTGCTACTTAGATTTTCAATGAAGTTGAAAATCTGTCATTCATAGGAGACCTTCATTGAAGTAGGTCATTTATTGAATTAATTGAAAAATGTGTTGAATTACCCCCAGATTATCATTATTTTCTCAAGCTTTATTTTACTGAATCCACAAAATTTTCATTGTGTATCTCTATATAGAGATATATATTTCCCACAACCCAGGGACAGTTGGAGTAGAATAAAAAGTGGAAGGAAACTCTTGCCGTAATCAAAGATCTCAGGAATAGATTGCCGCATAAACTAGAAATGGAAAAAAGAAGGTTTCAGGAAAAACGTAAAATCATTAAACCCCCAAATGACTCAGGGAATTTAGAGGGTAAATGACAGAAACAACTATATCTACAGAAAATATGTTTTTAAATACTTGCTTCCTTCTCATCCATTTCTGCAATTGTGTGGGAATTGAGTTGTTGATTAAAAAACCTCTCATTTGCTTTGTCATAGACCATGACAGCCTCTGGTCTGCTCTTCTTGTGAGCAATTGCTGACACTGGCTGCTTTCTCAGGGGATCATGGGTGGGAGAAGATTCTGGTCAGGCCTCAGCCTTCTCAGCAACAATGCCAGCTCTCTGAGGAAAAAAAAACCTTTGAAGATCTAGCGACAGGGGTTCTCAACCTTGGCAACTTTAAATCAAAAATTTATAAATACCTATTAGAGATAGAGTTAGAAGAAGAAATAGTGAAGGGGCCAATGATAGCGTGGGCACGAAATGTGGGGCGAAATATAAATTTAGAGGAATGGGAAAGATTATGGAACCGAAATTGCAAATTGACGCTATCAACTGCATATAGAGAGAATCAATATAAAATGATTTACAGATGGCATTTA